GGGGGTGCCCCGGGGGGGGGGGGGGGTTGAGGAGAGATGGGAATCCCTGGGGCGGATAGGAGCCACTTAGCTCGCAGGGGATTCCCCTCTGCTGCCAATGCCACTGACACCTCTTTCTGCTCCCTGGGCTCCCCGCCACTTGCCCTGCTGGGCCAGATCCTCTGCCGCCCCCAGACACGGCCCCCTGCAGAGCAGCACAGACACTGAACCACCCCGCTCAGCGCCCGGGAACCAGCTCCAACAGGGACTCAGACCCCAAACATCCACCATGGCTACGCTGACCATGCAGTCCAAATTTAAATGCTCTGTCCCGGTGCCGCATCAAGTAGTGAAATGTCCCAGAAAGCTCCACTGGACATTTCACTACTTGCCAGACACGGCCCCCTGCAGAGCAGCACAGACACTGAACCACCCCGCTCAGCGCCCGGGAACCAGCTCCAACAGGGACTCAGACCCCAAACATCCACCATGGCTACGCTGACCATGCAGTCCAAATTTAAATGCTCTGTCCCGGTGCCGCATCAAGTAGTGAAATGTCCCAGAAAGCTCCACTGGACATTTCACTACTTGATGAGGACACCAGCTTGTGGGAAGAAGGGAATTGTTCCTCATGCAGCACAGCAGCCTCTCCCCCGCCCCCCTCTTAGCAAGGTATGTAGGCAGCTCCATTGGAGCTTTGCTGGTGGGCACCTGGGCCAGCTTCCAGTGGTGTGCAGCCCCACCCTCTCCCCGCAGGACCGTCTCTTCCACGCTGGGTCCCAATCCAGTGACACCATTTCCTCCTCTTCCAGGCCACTTGTTAGTACCACTGCTTCTGGGGGGCCAGGCAGGTCCAAGACAAAACCCAGTGGAGCTGCTCCCAGACCTCCATGCCATGGAGCCCCAGCAGGAGCCACACAGAGCCCGGCTCAGGCACTGCAGGGTGAGGCATGCTCAGGCTCAGCAGATGCCGAGACTGCATCAGAGGCTGCCCACAATGCTATTTTTACTGTGGCGGTCTGGATCCCCGCAAGTTGCCTGGCTCCAGCTGAAGTCAAATGGCAGCCACACAAGGTGCATTCCAGCTGGGGCAGCCTCATTGGAACAGGCCTCATGCAGCTGCTGTTTTACTCCAGGCCACCCACGGGGACTGGGACCGCGGTACTAAAAATAGCATCACGGGCATCCTCTGCTCCCATCCCGGCATATGGTACCATCCCGGAATCAGCTGGGATCGGGCCCACAGTACTAAAAATAGCACTGTGGTCCCAGCTCCAGCCCCTGCAAACTGCATTGAAGACAGATGGTGAGGGAGGGGTGGGGGAGACCTAAGAGGCTGCGTTTAGACTGGCATGATTTTGCAGAAATACTTTTAACAGAAAAGTTTTTCCATTAAAAGTATTTGCACAAAAGCATCCGTGGCCAATCTAGATGCGATTTTGTGCAAGAAAGCCCCAATTGTCATTTTAGCCATCGGGGCTTTTTGGGGCAAAACAGTTCTTCCCTGTTTACACTGGCCCTCTTACGCAAGAGGGCTTTTTCCCGAGCGGGAGCATGAAAGTATTTGTGCAAGAAACACTGATTTTGTACATTACAAAGTCAGTGTTCTTGCGTAAATTCAAGTGGCCAGTGTAGACAGCTGGCAAGTTTTTGCGCCAAAATCTTGCCAGTCTAGACACACCCAAGGGGAAAGAGGGGTGAGGAGAGAAAGAGGCTTGTGCTGAGGGGAGGGCAGGCACGGCAGGGGGAGG